AAGCTTCAATGCCTTTTTGTTAGAATGATTATTACTTTATAAATTGTTCATCATCACCTTATTCCATACTCTTGGGGGTCGGTGGAGTGAAATTTGTTTAGAAGCTATGGTTAGCTAACACATCACTATAAATTCATTCATGCAAGCATATTGGTAAAGTGATACACTGGATCCCCTCATTGCAATTTTCTTGTTAATAAAGTAAGGTCAGAAGGAATAAAGAGTTGGTGATGAATTGAGTTACTTGCTATTTACATGTTCATTAATAAATTAATTTTGTAAAACCAGTCTGCAAATAATGAAAATAGTGTTTGTTACTTCTTACTTGAAGCTCTGCCTTCCCCGCTTTCTATCTTTAAGTTCAATGCTTCCATATAAGTGGTACACAAGTGTGGAAAACACTTCTTATATCTTACCATGCCTGATTTCACATGCTTTAATAGCCATTTAATGTTTTGTTGTGTTTATTATTTTTATATGGTGTGATCATACAACATATGTTATGCAATTTCCCCTGATGTGTAGTATTTAGTAACTTTCCCATCTTGTGTTTAACATTAATCATCACCTAAACGGGGTGACCATCTTATGTAGTGCAGTCTGATGCATTCCCCAGTTGATTTTATTCTCAAAAATAACTGTCTGACTCTATTTTCTGCATTCTGCAGGGAAGACAATGCTTATGGATATGTTTTATGGTGCCACAGAAGGAATTGTGAAACATCGAAGAAGGTTCCACTTTCATGAGGCAAGTGCTTGCTCATGATCATTATGATGACCCTATAGAATCTTGGATGGAAGCGAACCACACCAAAACTTGAAGAAATTGCCAATAAATTAGATAATTTTGGTTCCTTAAATTTGGAATCTTTACATGCAATTGACTTGATGTAGTGGGCTGAATTGGCAGGCTATGCTTGAAATTCATCAACACATGCATAGGACTTGGAAGAGTCAATTAGAGCAAAAATATCAACAATCAAACATTTCTGGTTGGATCATGAACCTTCCATTAGATACAAAAGTCAAAGAATGGATAGCTGGTGAAGAAAAATATAAGCAAGAGATTCAAATGCAGAATATCCTTCTTGATGTTGCTGACAAATTTCTTGTCAACCAGGAGGGGAACAAGGGAGGAGCAAGCATTCTTTGCTTCGATGAGATACAGGTAAATAGCTGTAACACTAAAGAAGGCAAACATAATGCATTATGCATGTAGTCAGTAGTTTCTGGTCTCAAGAAAGCTTAAACCGTAAAAGTCATACAAGTACTAGAGATTTCATATGCATGTTAAATATTTGTGTGAACAAGGGATGGCTGTCAATAACTACATTATTAAGAAGCTGTTGTACAATTTGTAGCAAATTTTAATGGAAAAGCTCCTCTTTTTGTCAATTTGATTTGCATTCACCTTTTTTAAGCTAGCAATTCATGTACAATTGAAAATGGCCGTCAGAATTTTAGAGTACAGATATCACATGATGTACTATTCTTATCTTAATAAAACAAATGAGATGATTTTAATAGTATTTATAAATATTTTTAAGACTAAAAGAATTAGTGCAAAATCCAACACAGAAGTTGATAGAAGCAGAAAAAGAAACCCTAGCAGACGGTGTTAACGACTGCCCAGCCTTAGGCTCAAACCAAATCTTTATTCTCGATATCGAATAATCGTTCACAAGACCTCCTTAAATACTCCTTAACCTAATAATAAAATATGGCCATCTAGGCCCATTAACCTAATAATAAAATATGACCATATAGGCCCAACAGTTTATTAGACATAACAATAGACTGAAATAAAGTAATGAAACCCAGCAGTCAACCCAGCCCAATTAGGTCCACTGACAGCAACCCATAAACTAATAATGGGCGAGGCCCGTCCTCCTGAAGCATTGGCCCGTTTGCCTCCTAGAGCCTCGGCCCATCTGCCTCCCACTCCCTAACAATTTCCCCCCCCCCCCCTCCAAAACAACCTTGTCCCCAAGGTTGGAGTGAAGAAGCTGCTGCTTGTTTCTCCTTCTGTTCCCCTAGCTGCTCAACCTCTTCGGGCGGGATAAAAGATTCAGTTTGATTGAGGTCGAGTTCCTCATCTTCCTCGACAACCATTACTCTTAACTGTTTTAGGGGACATTCATGCCTGGGGGTATAGGGCTTCTTGCAACGGAAACAAAGCCCTTTTGCACGTAGGTCTGCAAATTCCTGCGGTGAGAGGCGTGTGAACCGAGAGCGATTCTCCGACTGGCCAGTCATGGCTGACCCGGACCCCGAGCTACTACCTGGAGATCGCGAGGAAGTTGTGCTTCCTGTTGCCCCTTGGTTTCCAGTAACTGGCGTGGAAGAGAGCCCCGAAAACCCGCCAACTTTGGTGTAATTACTGGAACGGCACTGCTGATTGTCGTATCCCCATTCTGATCTCCCTCCGGACTGTACGGCCAAGTCTTCTTCGATATCTCTTGCTAACTCCATAGCAGCTTCCAAATCAGTTGGGCGTAGGATCCGTAAGGAACTGCGAATGGTGTCCTGTAGCCCTTTCATAAAGTACCCCAAGTAGTGGGCATCACTCAAACCTGGGACCTGACTGGCTAATTGCACGAACAAATTTACATAGTCATCCATGGATCCTGTCTGCTTAACGTCAGCCAACCGTTCGAACGTGCTCCCTTTGAACCGAGTATCAAAACGGGCTACAAGGGCTTGTGAAAACTCCTCCCAAGCTATGCCTGGTTTCCGCGACCGTGTCCAAGAAAACCAGTACAAAGCAGGACCCTCCATTGCTACCATGGCTGACGCCACCTTCAACTCAGGTCGGGTCTGATGTATTTCAAACTGCTGATTGGCCCTGGCAAGCCATCCAATCGGGTCTGCCCCCTCAAACGCCGGTAGCATCCGAGGCGCGGTCACAGACCTAGGGTTGTGGGAGTTCTGCGAGTCAGCCGTGCCTCCTCCTCCTCCTGACTCAGAATCAGCCAGCGTCCCCCCCGACGCCATAACCTTCTGCGCCAGTTTGTCTAGGGTTTGCGTGATAGCATCCAACTTTGCGTTGGTGGATTGCAATTCTGCCCTGATGTCCTTCTGGTCTGCTTCTATCGCATCTATGCGTTGATCAATGGTGGAACGAGTCATGATGAACGTAGGGCGGTGGATAGGATCCGGCAGGTCGGACCAAATTGATAGAAGCAGAAAAAGAAACCCTAGCAGACGGTGTTAACGACTGCCCAGCCTTAGGCTCAAACCAAATCTTTATTCTCGATATCGAATAATCGTTCACAAGACCTCCTTAAATACTCATTAACCTAATAATAAAATATGGCCATCTAGGCCCATTAACCTAATAATAAAATATGACCATATAGGCCCAACAGTTTATTAGACATAACAATAGACTGAAATAAAGTAATGAAACCCAGCAGTCAACCCAGCCCAATTAGGTCCACTGACAGCAACCCATAAACTAATAATGGGCGAGGCCCGTCCTCCTGAAGCATTGGCCCGTTTGCCTCCTAGAGCCTCGGCCCATCTGCCTCCCACTCCCTAACAGAAGTAGACCATGGTAGGGAAAAAGTGAGCGAAAATGAACAAGAGAGAATATGACACTATTAATTTATTATTAATGTGTTTTTATTGAACTAGTTTTTTCTGACGTCATTATCTCATGGTACAAATTCATTGTACCATAATGAATTTCCAAGAATTTACCTTTGAAGGTGGTCAGTTTCCTCCCACCTGATTTACAAGATGACCAATGAAGCTTTTATCTGGGAATTCAAAGTCAATGTCACCATCGTTGATCCCCCCTCCCTGATCATTTTTTTTAGCTTCACACCTATTTTCAGTGTCTCTCTTCTTCTTTCAGTGTGTCTTTCACCCTTTGGTGCAATACATGTTAGGATTTAATTAACGCAACGCGAAGAACAATAAGAAAGAACACACGAAATTTGGTAACCCAGTTCGCCACAAAGGACTACGTCTGGGGGCGCTACCAAGCCAGGAATGTTATTAATATTTCGGATCAAGTGATTACAAGGGAGAGAGCTTGTATTTATAGAGAGTAAAACTTAACCCCTAAAATAACTAGGGCGCGCGCGGGCCCACATCTGTATGGCCCAAACTGTACGGAACTGTACGGAACCTTACAATACAATCATTTTCCTCCTGTTTGATATGGTGTATCAAGTATGATGGAATAAAGCAAAATGGCTCACTAAACTGTCTGTTATGAAACAACGGTCAGTCCATGCAATTTTCAACACAATTTTCATCATGGGTTATCCGGAAACAGTGTCTCTGTGCTTTAGTACATGGGTAAGACTGCGTACATCTGACACCCCTTACCCCACCGTAGGTTTGATATATTTTTTTTGGGAAAATGGAAACTAATAATCCAACCTTTCAGCGTTCTTCTTACAATAGTCCCACCTTTTCGTTATTCATGAATAATCCAACCTTTGCACCTCATCTTCATTCATTGGTCCCTGACCGGTTGATGACCTGCTATTCCAAGTTATTTTCTTATCTTTGCAAACCATTATACCATAAATCTCACCTTTCACAAAGATAATATTTTGCAAAGATAAGAAAATAACTTGAAATAACAGGTCACTAACCGGTCAAGGACCAACGAATGAAGATGAGGTGCAAAAGTTGGATTATTCTTGAAAAATGAAAAGGTGGGACTATTGTAAAAAGACTGCTGAAAGGTTGGATTACTAGTTTCCATTTTCCCTTTTTTTGGCAAAATGTTGTTTGTTATGGTGTACCAACTACCAAGTATGCCTTTGTACGCTTCTGTTTGAGCATGTCTACATCTACATTTGTTTTGTACATATATTCTGTACATACTTAGTTGGCTTGTGTTCATTGGACGATGAAATGCTAGAGAGCTTTGCATTACCCAATGAACACATGCGAACTAAGAATGTACACAAAAATGTATATAATAAATGTACATGTAGAATTATTGTTTCTGTTATCCTTTCATATTCTTTCTGTATGTGCTTTCCTAACCTCAGAGTCAATGTTCTCACATAGCTCCCACCATCCTAAAATTAGCAGAAATACTATCTATCTCCAACCTTAACCTCCTCCCAGTTTTGACTCCCAACTACTCTAATGGCAAACTTGAATACTGAACAACACCTGCTTTTTACCTACTAAAATTTTGGCGAGACACAATGTACATAACACTAACTAAGATAACCTGTCCTTTCCATCCATTATTATTGTTCATGGATGGAAGATGAGTTTATTGGTTACAGAAGGTGAAAGATTCTAAAATGTCTTAATGAGAATTCAAATCCGTTTCTTTGTAACCTTCATGTAAAAGTGAAAGACAGATTATTGATTCTAATTGGTATATTTTTTTTTTAAAATACAGACTGTTGATGTTTTTGCTATTGTGGCCTTGTCTGGAATTGTTAGAAGATTACTGAGCGTGGGAACTGTTCTTGTGGCAACCAGTAATCGTGAACCAAGAGACTTAAATCAGGTACACCTGAAATCTTCCTTTGCAAGTGTGTTACATACTTAAAGATCTTATTAGATCTGCACCCCTTTTTTTATTATCTTAGTTGTACAATGATATCCATGAAATTTGGATCTGAGAAGAAATGTTCTAGACAGTTTAGATTTTTTGTTATCATAATTTTTGCCCAATGATTTTACTAAAATTACTGTTCTTTGTTCAGGATGGTATGCAATGGGAAATCTTTGACAAGTTAGTACAGAAACTTGAGGATCACTGTAAATGTGTTCTGATTGGAAATGAAATAGATTATCGTCGCCTTATAGCTCAAAGATCTATAGAGCAGGCAAGTTAAAGCATGTTAACTAGTACTTTCCCAGAGCGGCAGATTCTAACTTAAGCTAATGCCAAATTAAGTTCTTCAATTGTACATTATTACCCAGTTGTGACCTTTATTTTTTCCTGGACTCGACTATGTAATTTGGATCCAATTTAGTTCTCAATAAACTATTCCTGAGGTGTTGAGAACAGAAAAATAAAAATCGACAGGGTAACCCGTTGCCCAGATAATCAACGATAAAAATACCATTGCCCAGAGCCATAAGGCTAAACTCCAATTTTATTCCCAGATCATCAAGAATGAATCCTAACAAGGGGTTTAAATACCCATTTACTAATTCTCAAACTAGGAAATAAAATCCTAGAAATCCTAATCAACTCCAACTAGGAAACAGAATAATAAAGATCCTAATCAACTTCAAATAGGAAACAAATATTAGAAATCCTAATTAACTCCTAATAGGAAACAAATATTAGAAGTCCTGATTAGCTCCAAATTGGAAACAAATCAGGAAAATTAAAAAGAATAAATATTAATTGAACAGCCCGCAACCAGCCCACGAAGGTGGGCTCAAGCCCGTCCCCGCCTTCAGTAAACCCACAGAGGCTTCTGCCCCTCTTCTTCCAAGCCCAGATTCTGCTTCATATCATGAGGACTTAATTGGATCCAACTTGCATAGCTAAGGACCAAATTGAGTAGTTGGGTTGTGGCAATGGACTAAATCGGGTATTAGCTATTCTGAGTTTATACTCTTTTGAGAAATAAAGTTGTTAATGTTGTCAGGCTCATTACTATTGGCCTCTGGATAGCAAAAGTAAACAAATGTTTGAGGACATGTGGAGTGAGATAACAAAAAAGTATGGTGGAAATGTTACTTCTGAGACAGTTCAAGTGATGTTTGGAAGGTAAATGATATGTTATTTACTTTTCTTAGAACGTTTTATTTGAGCCACGTGATAGGCATGCTATTTCCATCCAGAACATTGGAAGTTCCTCAGAGCTGCAATGGGGTGGCACGATTTACATTTGAATATCTTTGTGGCCGACCGGTAATTGTGACTTCTTTGAGTGAGAGTACTCTTTATATGATAATAGGTTGCTTATTCAGTTCTTCAGAACATGGCACAACCAACTTCAAAATAAAATAGAGCAGTTTTTCTATTCAGAACAGTTAGAGGCCATTTGGTAGGCTTGGTTTACAGGCTATCACTGAGTTTTTCACCAAACACTTCTTAATGATTATTTCATTGTGGTGGTTGTATTGGCCATAATGGAAAAGTAGTGAATGAGGTAATTTTTATGGCTGAACTATATGAAATTGATACTTTACTATAGAAGTATTTATCTCTAACTGTCTTTATTACTACGTATAATTTGATTTATTTTTAGATCCTTAAAATTACATCAAATTAAGTCATTTTCACCATAAGTTTTGCAAGTTCTGCAGAGTCAACCACTTCAACCATTTTAAGCCTTGTTAAGTGGGTCTTGATTCTTGTCCTTCTGAATTCCGAAGACAAAATCAACTTCACATATTTTTGTTGTATTATTATTAAAGCATGAGGTTAGATTTTAATATTAGATTAATTGAAACAAATAGTGAAAACATTATTCTTTGCAATCAATCCCAATCATTACTAGCCCTATCTAGACTTGTCCATAGTTAATAATTTATTATAATACTTGTGCCACCGCTAAACAATAATAGATGTAGCATCCATAATTTTTCATGGGAAACTCTTTATCTTATTTTGATGTTTGTGATTAACATGTGTAGATTGGAGCAGCAGATTATATTGCAATAGCTAACAACTATCACACAGTCTTCATCACAGACATTCCTGTAATGAGTATGCGCATCAGGGACAAGGTTAGATTATTTACTGATATTCTTTCTAGGTCGGTTTGGATGGTCGGGGAATTTTGTACTTGCATTTCATGTTTGCCCTAAGATATGACTTTGCGCATCATATTTTATTTTCTTTGAGTAAGCACATGGTGGAAGTTCCATATTTTTCATTAGACTTGGCACCTCAATCCTCATGCTTACCTTAATATTTGACTTTGCACCATAGTCTTGGTACAATGTCAAATATTGTGATGTTAATGGGATGCAACTATGCAAGTACCAAATCATCTTCTGTAAACTGTTCCATAAACACAGAATGCTAATAACATATTTTGAGGCCATAAATCATGATTATCTTAACACAACGCCTGTCTTATTGAAAATATTTTTGTAGTGCTTCCTCCACTAAGTAACTAATCTCACAACTGGATTGAGAAAAGTGCTACAGTGTAGTCTGCTTTGCTACTTACTCTGTTTAGGCTTCTGTGTGTTAGGCTAGGAGGTTTATCACCCTGATTGATGAATTATACAATCGCCATTGCTGTCTCTATTGTTCTGCTGAAGCATCTATAGATGATCTATTTCAAGGAACAGAAGAGGGAACATTGTTTGATATGGAAAGGCAAGTATACTCCTGCTTATTTGTACTAGGACTAAAAAACAAGGATTAGTTTCTTGATACTTGAAGGGTATACTTGTATCACAGAAATATGAGAAGCAGTAAATCAAAGGGGAAACACAAAGGGAATTAATTTTTATGTTTTCCTTTACCTTTAGAAATGTAAAGGAAAATTAAATGGGTAAGAACTAAATGAGTAAGATTGATTTTTCCCCAAATCTTTTCCATATGTTTAGATTGTCTTTATATAATATGAATAAATAATAAATAAGTTTGAAATATATGAAAACCTAGTTTTGTTGAGTTTGGGTTTCTCCTTCATTCCTCTCCTGGTATATTTCATTTCTGTTTGTCTCTCATTTTTCTTTCCATAGTATTTTCCGTGCTCCCAATGGACCTGAAGAAATGCATTGAATTTGAATTTTAGTAATATGGTAAAATAAAATGAATCTTCACACCAACGTCATTCCAAAACACACGTACAGACATCTGCTTATTTTTATTTGCTTTACACACACACACACACACACATATATCAAAAGACATGAAAGTCCTAAGTTTCGATCTTCCATCTCCTAAACAATTTTTTAAACTCCCTAAAAAGCCTAATAGAACGACTAAAAATTAACGACAGGAGAGAGAGAGTATATACATAATAGCATAACCATGTATATTAGGAAAGATTTTGTTACACATAAACTAAAGGTTTTTGCCAAATTTGGGGTGGGCCGGGGCACGCCATCTCTCCTGCTATGCCCCTGTACACGCATATTTATGTATTATTTCCATTACATACATTTTTTCTAGAACCATATGGGTTGAGTTGATTTGCGCTTTTTTTCCAGCTTCCAGTTTGAAACGGAAATAGAAGGGGGGAGACTTAGGAGAGATGTTTTAGCTGAAGGTGGTATTAGTTCAGGAGGTTCACCAACTGGTATTATTTCCATGCTTTCTGGTCAAGAGGAGTTGTTTGCATTTAGACGAGCCGTGAGTAGTTCTTTATAACTCTTCTTTATATTTTCTTATTACATGCTTCACAAACATCACACGTAATCAAGTTCCCGTAGTTTCATCACAGCTTCTTCTGAAAGTAAATGGAACTTGGCATTTATTACAATTACCTGTTGCTTTAAAAATAAATAATCCTATTAACAACATAAGAGCAGAAGTATGAGTCTCAACCTGAAAACCAAGGCAATAGGATTGGGTAGTCCATCTCTTATATGGTTGTTGATCTGTGCGCAAATTTACGAGGTGGGATACTTTAAGGGTCCTTTTGGAATCATAAATATGTTAGGGAAAGAAAATGGGGAGGAAAATAAAGGATTGGGTCAGTTTCAATAAATTTATTAAAATTATTCAATTATTTCCATCATATAAATACTAAGAAACTTGACCATATGGAAAAGAAATATAATACTCCATGATAATCATTGTCATTTTCCTTTTAAATTTTCAAGGGAAAAGGTGTAAATAGGCCCATGTACTAACAAAAAAAGGTCAAATAAGCCCTTATTTAGGAGGCTCTGTCCGGCCGTCGCCATTTGGGGTGGTTCCCGGTGGAATTTGTTGATGAAATTTTTTGAGCATCTTATTCATCAAGTCTAGTTTACTCATACCAAATTTCAGCTAAAACTTCAACCGGGAAGGCATTCAAATGAATTTTTGAAGACAATTGTGCTTCTAACTGCGCAGTTATTTTCAAGAATTCATTTGAATGCCTTCCCGATTGAAGTTTTTGCTGAAATTTGGTATGAGTAAACTAGACTTAATGAATAAGATGCTCAAAAAATTTCATCAAAAAATTCCACCGGGAACCACCCCAAATGACAACGGCTCAACAGAGCCTCCTAAATAAGGGCTTATTTGACCTTTTTTTGTTAGTACATGGGCCTATTTGCACCTTTTCCCAATTTTCAAAGATGAAACTGAACACATGAAAATAACCTTCCTTGGCCCTTTTCCTCTTTCCCTATAATTTTCTAGTTTCCGAAACAGCCGTAACAGGTTACTGAATCAGGAGAATCGGTGTTGTGGTGCAGGTATCACGATTGATTGAAATGCAGAGTCGTGTTTACCTTGATGCTGCTCGCTACCTTCATCCCTATTTCCAGTCCTCACATGGAAACCTTCAGCAGATAAGTAGTGCAAACTAAGAATTAGTTGTGAATTAGTTTTTGGATCCCGTGGATCAACCCCACCGCAGTGTTCCCTATGGGCAGTCGAACTGAGGCCTGTAAATTACATCATCCTCTGGATTGATTGCATCTGGTCCGCTCATTGAATAATTCCTCCATAGAGTTGCTCCACAGGAACCAATCTTTGTGCAGTGTATGCCTTCCTAAACTTTCTTGCCTCTGATTGTCAATAATGCTTTTCTGCAAGTTATGATTGTGATATGAGAATCTTGTTTGGCTTTTTCTTTGGATCACCATATTCATTCTTACATTTTCTTAGCGAGGGTGCTGGGTGCATGCAAGTGTGTTACCGGGATCCTCAAATTTTACTTTTACCATACCAGTGAGTATTCATGATGTAGAGCATGTTGTTTTTGTTATAATAAATATTGGGAAGCCATGGCCTTCCGGACCTCTACTAAACTTCGCCACTGTCCGTTCTATTCACCCTGTGTGGGCTTAATTTATTAATTTTTTTCAATTTTTTATTATTTCCCGGACTAGTTTGGGTGAAGCATATAATGGCGTGCTATACTGAAAAAGTGTTGTAATGACTAATGCTAAACACGAAGTAATATTATTAACAAGTCATTAGCTTCCTTTTAGAGTATTTGTAATAATTGGGAATGAGTTTTTAGGTGTGAAACTGCAACAATCGGAGCTGGTTTTTAGGGTGTTCCTTGGCCCCTACCCCAGAAGACTTTACGGTCTTCTGGTCCTCCACCGGGTTAAAAAAAAACGGAGCTGGTTTTATTAACCATTTAACCCTCACGTAGGGGTGATATAAAAGATTTAGTTCCTAGTTCTTGGATTCGTGATACTTGAAGTTTGTTTAAAAGATGCGGATGCTATAACATCAAAAGAAAACATATAAAATGAATGAGTTTGGTTATACTAAAAGGAAACATATACTAAAAGGACCCAAAATAGTTGGATCGATGGAATGAGCTTGGTTATACAGTTTTAACACCTTACACTTGATACAGAGTATTATTTTAATGGTATACTAATTTTATGTGTAGGTTAGTAGGTATTAACATTGTTTTATTATATTTGAGAAATGAGAAAAATGCACTTCTATTGAATAATATATACTCCATATAAGATTATGTGTTGATATTGATTTTATAAAATATGAAGGGTTTTGAACTATCCATATATGAATGAGCAAATGCATTATGAGACACGCTTAGTATTTGGGGCGGAAAGGGGAATATGGAGTCTCGAGCGAAGAAGCAATTATACTAGGTTTTAACATTAGCGGAGTGAGCTAAATATGAAAAATGAAAAAGATTCACACTAAAAGATCCCAAATTGGAAAGAACTGGAGTTATTTTGGGCTTCAACCCACAATTGTCGATACGTGGACCCCCTGCTTAGTTTGGATGATGAAAAGAAATAATGTGACAAATATAATGCAATATGGGAAACATCAATAATAAGCATGTTTTCAGTTGGACGGATTTTAGTCCCAAATCAGACCAGGTCAGATCAGACCAAACTTAGACAATTGTAAAATACATCTATCAGACCAAACCAGTTCAGACCAGGTCGGACAAGAATTCAACATATCAGACTAGAAATTTTCAGTTCAATTAAAATCATCCTAATACTTGCTACTACACACTACTTTGTTCCACTACAATTGTGACATGTAAAAATAATACACCGATTATTAAGAAATGTGTGTTTGTGTAGTTGATATTAAATCGATCAAATAAAAATAACTAAGCATAAATTAGAATTACATAAATGTTATCAATATGGCATCAAATAAGTATATAATGTTATGAGTAAAAAAGAGGAATGTGACAAAGATATTCGTAATGAGGGACCGATAATTAGCCCCTAAATAATTGGAAAATAGTTTTGAATCAATTATTCTAATCATGCTACATGATCCAAAATTTCAATCGAGTTTAAAGTGTGTTTGAAAGCAGGTTGAAAACCAATAAAGGCGTCATAAAAATATATAGGGTCCATTTTGTGTCCCGGCCCATCAACTTTGTCTGTTTTTTCATTCATTTTTGTATAAACAACAAAATCTTGATTTAACACACATTAAATCATGTAAATCAAAATAAGTGAGTGCCAAATTGCTTTTCTGATTGAATAGATTGATTTTGCAAAAGAGGGTAATTTTAGGTTTTTTCCCATAGTCTTTTGTTATTTTTTTGAAAGGTTTCTTAATTTTATTACTCCGTAATAAACTATATTTTAAACATAAGTTTCCATAACTCAAACAATGTGAATTTTAAGTCAATTTCAATGCTATAGAACTAATAAAGACTTATACTTGTATATCTTAGATTTTAGACTTATTAATGATCAACAAGTAAATAAAAAGTATCACCCACTAAAGAAATGGTAGTTTTGATAAGATTGCTTGCCAGGTTTATTTCAAGGAATTCAAATTGATTTATTCTCAAAAGGACAACTACTCTCTTCGTGTGAGAGTTGGAAACGTCAAATTCTTAATCAGTTATTACTTCACATTTGCTTATAAATTACGTAGCATTTGTCTTCATTTCCAATATTAATTACGAGTAATTCACCGTCAAATAGAATGTGAAATATTTTTCATTTCATAGCTCTGTAGGATCGAAATGAGGGGTGTCAGCATTCGGAGATTCCACCGTTTGAGTGGAAACTAAATAAGTTTTGTTATTTACTCATTACACAATTGAATGGAGGCGATGGATTCTTTCTAACCGCATGCTTGCTTTACATATTTATCCATCTCTTTCCTTTACAATTGCTTTTGAATCTAATGTTTAGATATAAGTATTTTCATACATAAACAAAGTAAAAGAAAAACAACAAATTAACTTTTACAATTATTAGTACATAATTTTAAATTTTTTTACCTGCTCTAGATATTTGCCGTGCAACGGGTCTAGTATAAAATGAATGAGTTACTCTCTCTTCTATAGTTTGTTTAAAGTAGACACGAAGTACATTCCAAAAGCCATTTGAGTCGCATATCAATGATGGTATAAACTTATTTATCAGTTTCTAACAAAATGACCATAAACTAATCTATTCCCAAATTATTGTCTTCAGCAAATCATAATGCAAAGCATCATAAAATGAATGAGTTACTCTCTTCTATTTTATATTTTATATTTTTTATAACCAAACCGGTCTAACTGACATTAACGTTATTGAGATCTAATACGAACTAAAGTGACTGTACAACTTGGGATGGACCGCAACCGGGCCGACCGGCCCTGCCCGGCGACCGGGCCCAGGACCAGTCCGGGTGGACCACACTGGGTTTTAGAGATAGCGGGCTCGGGTCAGCCAAAAATGGAACCGGCCCGGCAGGGCCGCAATGGCTATTTAAAAAAAATGGCTTAAAAAATCCTAGCCGTTGAGATTATTCCCAAATGGCTGTATAGCCGTTATAGGTAGAGGAGGGGGTCATGGGGGTTTGGAGGGTTGGGAGGGGTACAAAAAAATCCTATATATACTCCTATTTTCTATACATTTTTCTACAACTCTTCTTCAACTCTTCAAGAATTTAGCATCACACCCACCCCCAACTTTATGGAGGAAACAACCGAAGATGGCGGAGATTCCGATTAATTAGTATTTATTACAAATTGTCTTTCATGTATTAAAATTTTCTCAATTCTCAATTGTACTTCATATTTCAAATAAATATACTTTAAGTTTTTTTATCTACCATTTCTTCAATTAATTGGTAAACAACAACACACACAAAAAAAACCGGAACCAAACCGGCCTGACCCGGAACCCGTCCGGGTAGCCCGGCCCGACCCGGAACCACCAGCTACCCGGGCCGGTCCCGGGCCTTACATTTCCAAAAAAAGCCCGGTCGGGCCCGGCCCGGTCCATCCCTATGTGCAACCTACGTAACTATTTTTGTTTCACCATTCAAATTTTAACATGATATGTGTGACTAGGGGTGGACCCGGTCCAACCGGGCTGGACTCTGGAACTAGGTCCGACATTGTTTAGGACTGGATCGGGTTCGGAAAATTGGTTCGGGCCCGGGACTGTCCATTGTCCGCCCAAACATGTTACCCCTTCCCGTGTCACCCATTTGGGGATGAATCAAGTGGTTTCGGTCCCGGTTTCGGTCTCGGACGAACCAATTTTTATGTCATGAAAACAAAAATAAATAATAACTGGATCGGGTTCGGCTCGAGATCGACCTGCATGGCTACCTGAAACTGGCCCAGTCCGAGATTTAACCGGATCAGACCTGGGCTTCCCCTATCGCTGACCGGGACTTGGACCGACTGGTCTGGGTTCACCCCTATGAGTGGCCTTTAAAAAAGCATGAAATCTATGAGTAACGTATATTTGTAAGTATACAAGTGAATAAAACTTTTACTGTCTTGTACTCTTGTTTAGGACACTAGTTGTGGAGGTTTTTTTTAAACACTTCAAATACTTCGAGTTCGTATATGATACCACCGGCTGTACGGTGAGCACCGTACAGCCGGCCCAGTAACAGGCCCAGGTGAAAAATAGGGAAAAAATTTGGTGGCAATTTTGTGATTAATGTAAAAATCGCGGTTTCTGCTAAATGAGTATCGGTGTACAGTTAATGAGCAATAGTCCAATTTTAATGAGCACCATGTTAGTACAAGAAAGCTGATATCACAACTAAAAAACCGTGGCATTTTCGGAATTTTAGTGAAAATTGCGTTTTGCGTTAGATGACATTAATACATTTTCAATGAGCATCAGACGTATTGTATTGAGCATTAAAAGGCGAATAATGAGTGTTGTGATATCAACTTCATACATTGTAATTAACTTTTTTTCCTTACTTTTTCTTTTATAAAAACTCATTAAATTATATCTATAATCAATTCTTATGAACTTTAATATGCGAATCTTATAAAGTACGAAGCAATTGTAGGGAATTTTCTGATTTGTTTCATTGATCGAAGCATACATATATACACGTTGTACAACACATGCGAAAATGCAAAAGATAAGAACTAAACTATCGCTAATGATTCTATCTCTACGTACAAGTGGGATATCTATGCTAGGAGTCTCTTGGGGAACTCCAACAATTCGGCCAAAGAATTAGGATAAGGTGGCTGAGCTTTGACCACTAAAATATTGTACATATTTTGTACATAAAATAATGTACGTAACAAATATACACTTCTTCCATGCACGACGTCCATCACGTCCTAACACCCCCCCCCCCCCCCCCCCCCTTCAAGATGGAGAATGAGGATCCCGAAGACCCATCTTGGATAATAAATATTGAAACTGTGTTTGTCCAAGAGCCTTGGTGAAAATGTCTGCAAGTTGTTCTGACGAAGTGCGATGAGCAGTAACAATGGTCCCGTTCTGTACATGATGGCGAATAAAATGACAGTCTATCTCAATGTGTTTAGTCCGCTCATGAAACACTGGATTAGAGGCAATATGTAAGGCGGCCCGATTGTCACAAAAAAGATTAATAGGTTCAGAATGATCCACGGCTAGAGAAGACAATAAATTTTTGAGCCAAATAAGTTCACAACCAAGTGACGCCATAGAACGGTACTCTGCTTCAGCAGAGGAACGAGAGACTGTGATCTGTTTCTTCGTACGCCAAGAAATAGGAGAATTACCCAAAAGAACAAAATACCCAGAAACAGAGCGGCGCGTGATAGGACAGCTGGCCCAGTCAGAGTCACAATACCCAGATAAAGTAAGCGGAGAATTGCGCCGGAGAATAATCCCTTGCCCCGGATGGGCTTTGAGATAGCGTAACACACGCACCACCGCGTCCCAATGAGCCTGCCGGGGACTTTGCATGAACTGAGATAACACATGTACGGCATAACAAATATCGGGTCGAGTTAAGGTGAGATAAATAAGCTTCCCAACTAACCTTCGATATTGATCTGGATTATCATAAAGAGGCCCCTCCACAGTTTGTAGACCATGATTTTGTACAATGGGAAAAGAAGCAGGCCGAGCACCAAGCATCCCAGTCTCGGTAAGAATGTCCAGAACATATTTTCGTTGACACAAAAATATACCTGTCGGATTTCTAGCAACCTCGAGGCCAAGGAAATACTTCATAACCCCCAAATCCTTGACCGGAAAACGTGACGAAAGATAAGATTTAAATTCAACAATTAAATCAGGATCATTACCGGTAATAAGAAGATCATCCACATAAATTAAAATACATAATATTTTTCCCGGTCGGCGAAATGTAAACAATGAGTAATCGGCTTGTGATTGATGAAACCCATAAGCTTTGAGGGCACATGTGAGTTTAGAGAACCAACAACGGGGAGCTTGACGAAGCCCATAAAGAGATTTCAACAAACGACATACCTGACCAGGGGAAGAAGAAGAATAACCGGGAGGAAAATGCATGTATACCTCCTCACCAAGATCACCATGCAAAAATGCATTATCCACGTCCATCTGGTGGACCACACAATCACGTGAAGCTGCAACTGCTAAGATAGTCCGAACAGTGACCATTTTAGCCACAGGTGCAAAAGTATCATGATAATCTATGCCATGAATCTGACGATTGCCACAAACAACGAGCCGAGCCTTGTACCTATCAACAGAACCGTCAGTTTTGTACTTAATTTTATACACCCACTTGCAATATATAGCCCGTTTTCCAGGTGGCAGGGACTGCACTGTCCATGTGCCAGTGCGTTCTAAGGCATCGACTTCAGCCTGCATGGCAGCACGCCACTTGGGGTCCTGTACAGCTTCACGGAAAGAATCAGGCTCACGTGCTTGACTGATGGCCGCTAAAAATGCACGATGAGGAAGAGAAAAACAATTATATGTCACATAATTAGATAAGGCATAAGGATTACCTGCGGGTACCGGTGAAGTGGAGGAGCTGCCGGAGGAAGGTACTATTCGCACAGTATTAAGACATACTTCATAATCATCATGCCATGCTGGCGGCTTCCTGGTACGTGCAAGATGGCAGGTAGGTGGTGCATGACTGGAAGATGTAGAAGCTGCCGGTGAAGGGCGTGTGTGTGGGTCGTGAGGTGGCTCAATAGGTGGGCTCGAGGTGGCTGGTGTTGTCGGTGTAATGGGTGTGTGGGTTTTGGATGGGATTGATGATGATGATGATAAGGTGTCACTGTTGGAGTAATTATGGCCATTCGGTGTATGGGGTGGTTGTGAGATTGGTTTAAAATTGTTGGGGAAATCAAGATCATCATCCGAGGGTATTGGATTGGTCACATGGGTTTCAGTAGATAAAGAGGATGTGTGGTCAGAGTCCAAGGCAACAGGGTCGTGATAAGGAAAAATGGTTTCAAAGAATTGCACATCCCGAGAAACAAAATGGCGTTTATTCTCCAAATCATACACTTTCCATCCCTTTTGGGAATGAGCATATCCAAGAAACACACACTTCGTACTACGAGGGGAAAATTTATCACCAGAACGATCCTTAGTATAGGCATAACATAGGCATCCAAAAACACGTAGATCTGTATAACGAGGTAATGTGCCAAATAAAAGCTCATATGGAGTTTTATTGTCAAGCACTGGTGTAGGCACGCGATTAATTAAATAACCGGCCACTAGTATACATTCCCCCCAGAAGTCTAACGGTAAATTGGCATGAAACCGTAGGGCCCGAGCTACCTCAAGAATATGCCTATGTTTGCGTTCCACCCGGCCATTTTGTTGTGGAGTATAAACACATGAGGTTTGAAAAATTATTCCATGATCCAAAAAATAATTTTTCAAGGCACAAAATTCTTTACCATTATCGCTACGGACCACACGCACATCCTTTTGAAATTGACGTTTGGTCATAGCAAAAAATTGTTTAAGAATTTTTCCAACCTCGGTCTTGTCTCGCATTAAATGCACCCAAACCGCCCGAGTGTAATCATCCACAATAGTCAAAAAATAACGGGCACCACAAGAAGAAGGCAAACGGTAAGGACCCCATACATCACAATGGATTAATTCAAAACAATCACTAGCTCTGGCAGAATTTATTCCAAATACATCTCTAGTTTTCTTGGCCCGTAAACAAGCATCACAAGGTTTATTTTACAAATTAATAGAAGAAATCACATGATTGGAACTAGATATTTTACGTAATACTGATGGTGAAGGATGGCCGAGCCTTGCATGCCAAATCTCACTTTTATTTTCTTCTCCTACTGCTAGTGCCAGAGTTTCTTCAATACTGTGGAAATAGTACACTCCCCCGCGGCGTCTACCCACTCCAATCGGCATCCTCGTAGGCGGGTCCTGTATTACACAAATCTGATTAGTAAACAATATAATGCATTTCAAATCATCAATTAATCGTGCTACAGAAATAAGATTGCACATAAGTCCCGGTACAAAGAGAACATCATGCAAAATAATTTTGTGACTCAAAATAATCGGGCCTCGTAAAGTGGCATATGTCACGTCTCCATTTGGCAAGGTCACCGGAGTAGACGGAATCGACTCCTTTGACTGGAAAATTCGTGCATCTCCGGTCATGTGGTATGAAGCTCCCGAATCGAGTAGCCACTCAATCTGTCCGCTCATACCTGTTAATTTTTCCGCCGACACCGATGATGTCTTATACGTTTCCATGAGCTGCAGAAAACCTCTCCACTGCTCGTCAGTGAAACAAGGTGGCTGACTGGTGTTCGCTGCTTGTGTCCCCACCTGAGACACCTCGGATCCAAGTGACTCATCAATACCTACGGCATTTGCCACAGCTTTGCCGCGTCCACGTCCAGCACCCCGGCCACGTCCTCCTCGTCCCTTCCCGGGGTTATCATACCACCAGTCCGGATATTTTCCGGTGCGCTTAAAACATTGGTCAATCTCATGGCCGGGCTTCTTACAGAAAGCACAAACGACCTTCTGTTCAGTACGTACATGGAACGAACTAGGTCCAGCCGCAAATGCCACAACATCAGTCCGCTCTTCTCGTCCTCGCATCATATTTCTATGACGCTCTTCTTGGGTGAACATGTTATAGAGTCTAGTCAAAGTTGGAAGATCCTCTTGACTTAGGATATTTGAACGTAAGGTTCCAAATATCTCCGTATCTAAACCAAGCAAGAAATCATGGCCTTTTTCATTTTCTATTTGCTTAGCAAATTGCTTTGCCAAATCACACGTGCACCTGCTGCACGCACACTTGGGTGCCACCCGGTACTCATCATACTCATCCCAAAGGGTTTTCAGTCGGCCGTAATAGGCCGAAATTGAATCTCCGTTCTGCCTACAACCTCGTATCATATCTTTGAGTTCGTAGATCCGCATGGAATCGCCAACTGCAAACCTCGCCTTCAAGTCGTCCCACAGATCGTGTACGTCGTCCATGTAGGCGATATTCGATCGTAGGGATGAGTCAATTGCCGTCATAACCCATCCCACCAGCATTGAATTAACGCTGATCCAGTCCTCAATGTCATCATTGTGTTCGGTCGGTCGGGTAATGCTGCCATCCTGATACACTTCTAATTTCCGTATGTATGTTTACGTTTTTAGCTAGTTTTGGTTGTTTAGTATTTCGGAAATTACACACTTTTGGTGTAATAGTTTAGTTTGTTGAATTCTTGTAAATTGTTTAGATTAGGTTTATTCTGAGCTCAAACAGGTCTACTATCACTCAAAGGACGGTTGGTGAACCCCAAAAGTGGAAGGAAAGTGCAAAGTCACAAGACAAAAGGGAAGATCCTGATTTTTGGTCTATACTCGATCGAGTATCTGTATATACTCGATCGAGTATCTTGTTGAAATTTCAAATCGGATCCGATCCGGGGGCAAAGGAACATGCAAGGAAAGATTTGGCCACGTTTTATTGTCATACTCGATCGGGTACACCGACATACCCGATCGAGTATACATATGAATTTGAACCTGAATTCGGTCGAGTATAGCTCAAAATCATCATTCTGCACATACTCGATCGAGTATCTATCTATACTCGATCGAGTACCCGAGCTGCACTCCCAAAAAGCCTATAAATACACCCCCTTTCCTTCACAATAAGAAACCAATTCATATACACTCTTAAGCTCAGTTTAGAATAGCATTTCTTATATTTCTTTAAGCATGTTTAGTCTCCAAATGAGGAGCTAAACTTCCATTTCTTGGTATTGCTCTTGAAGCTTGTTGATTATTAAAGTTGTGAGTTATTTTCTTAACTTCTTTTCCTTGAATATTAATTCTTCCTTTAAATACTATTTCTATATCAATGTTGGGGAGTGTTACTAAGATGACAATTAGTTAACATCTTGACATTGGTTTTAGTAATAGCTATTCCTTCCTCTATGTTAATATCGGGGAGTGTTACTAAGATGACAATTAGTTAACATCTTGATATTTAACTATAGTAGGATTCATTCCCTTTTAATATTCTTCCTTGAGTATTAATTAATTCCTATTCATATTTCATATTAATATTTTGAACATTACTTAAAGGATCAACTAGTTTTGTTTCAAATATTAATTACTACGAGAAATGATCAACGAACCAATGATTAATCGTTGATAGTTTCACAAGTAAGTAACTTCGGTTTATTAATGCACGGTTGTGGTTAATAGACCTAAGAGGAATTAATTGTGTTGGTTAAACCAAAACCGCTTGTGTTGAGGTTATCGATCTCAATTGATTTCATCAAGGAGTTAAGCGATTAAATGCTACTATCAAGTCGGTATACGGCGCTTGTTCTATACTTGACTAATAGTAAGGGTTATTAATGAACGGTCGTTGTTAATAACTATCCTCGATGAATTGGATATACTCCTCGATTGAGTATTCGAGAGGAGATAAGTTATAGATATAACAATGATCGACTAAAATGTATCAACAAGTGTAAAGTAGCAATACCAAGTCAATTTTATCTTTGAATTAAATCTCATATAAATCGTTCATCTTCGTGTTTAAATTTAATTAAATCACTCAACAATCAAAACCCCCCCTTTACTTACTATTTATATAAAAAGAGAATTATTCCTTTCCCTGTGGATACGAACTCTACTTCACCTATACTACGTATAAGTGTTGTATTGAATTTACTTTGAGTGCACTCACGACAAAGTGCACGTCACATCCACGAAGCCGTTCTTCCGTTTCGCACGGAAGGCGTTTTTCATGGCAGTCGCCCATTGTCGGTAATTCCCTTCCCCTTTCAAGGTAAACCCGCAGATGTTCTGCCCCGGAGAATCCGAGCTTGACAAATAGTATGGGGATGTGGGATCGGTAATCTTCCGTCGTCGTGGTTCCTCATGCCCGGTGGAGTTCCCGGTGCCTGAGGAGATCGGTGTTCCATTGCCGGTCATGTTGTCAATCGGTTAGTTTCAAACTACCGCTCTGATACCATATAAAGTACGAAGCAATTGTAGGGAATTTTCTGATTTGTTTCATTGATCGAAGCATACATATATACACGTTGTACAACACATGCGAAAATGCAAAAGATAAGAACTAAACTATCGCTAATGATTCTATCTCTACGTACAAGTGGGATATCTATGCTAGGAGTCTCTTGGGGAACTCCAACAATTCGGCCAAAGAATTAGGATAAGGTGGCTGAGCTTTGACCACTAAAATATTGTACATATTTTGTACATAAAATAATGTACGTAACAAATATACACTTCTTCCATGCACGACGTCCATCACGTCCTAACAAATCTAATGTAATATGATACTTTTGAAACGTACATTGTTATGACATTTTAAAAATGAGCACATCAGTACCAAATGAGCATACGTAACATACAAATGAGCATTGATATGAATATGACATTTTAAAATGCGTATTACATTAATACCAAATGAGCATACATAAATTATGAAATGAGCAACGAAAATTCAAGTTTTTCATTTAGAATCTCTAGTATGCTCAATTTTTCATTTATGTACATCATTTTATTCTCTAGTATGCTCAAGTTTTCATTTGTGCATGCTCATTTGAATTTCCCAACGAAAAATTCAAAAAACTCATTTAGAATCTTTAGTATGCCCAATTTTTCATTTCTGTACATCATTTGAATTCTCTAGTATGCTCAAGTTTGCATTTGTGTATGCTCATTTGAATTTCCCAACGTGCTCAAAATTATCATTTATGTAAGTTCATTTCTTTTATTCATTATGCACCTTTATTATAAACACTTTACTCATTACCAATATAACACAAAATTTATGTTAGTAATTAACAAACTCAAAATATTAATACACAATATTAAAATACAATTTAAAAATACATTCAAAAAGGTGATAGTGTGGTTTGACTATTTGAGAACTTTATATGCCCACTATCTCTCCAAGGTACGAAGGATTAAAATCGGCGTCTCCATCATCGACCTCAGCAATTCTCCTGGCCAAGACCTCAGCGATTCTCCCGGCCAAGACCTCAGCGATTCTCCCGGCCAAGACTTCAGCGAGCACCTCCTTCGTCGATTAGCGAGCAGCGAGCAACACTTTCATCGTCTCCACCGAACAATCCGCAGATCCCTTCTAGCCCAACGGTTCAAGCACAACATGGAAGAAGCTTTGCCACTAGATCTGTAACTAATTGCAAAAAAATCCGGCTATACCATGCCCTAGGTACAGCCGGTTGTACGATAGTATTGACAGGGACGGAGCTACGTTAATGAGTAAGGGGGCCATTGCCCCTCCCAGTTTTTAATTTCTAATAGTAAAAATACTACTATTACAAATTTTTGCCCCCCCCCAATATGGATCCGGAAATGGGGTGAGTCACTTTTAGGTCCAATAAATAAATTAAACGTAGGTGTAGTAATTAAGTTTTGACTTTTTAGTAGGAGATGGGAGACCTTAACATTTGTGGTATCTAATTATCTATATACGTATATTTCTGCCAAATATTTAGTATGTTCGGAATTCTAAAAAAAGTCCAATTCGAATAAAATGCTTTGAAGTATGTCTAGTTGTCTACAACACTTGCGGCTTCGAATCAAATATGGTCATCCAAAAATTTGAGGCAATCACAACGCAGTGCTATTTTTACAATTTTATTCGTTTTCTAGATTATACTACGTAATTTATTATCACACATTCACGATTTTCCTTTTATAATTTATTAGTTACCAATAAATTTATTAAGTAATCATTAACTTGGTGTAAAGACCGAGACCTCTAGACTCTAGTGAATTATTATTAATAAATACGGATTTATAAGTGTGTGTATATATATATAAATCATTATGGTTAGCGAAATATAGTATATTGTTCGTTAATATCATAGATTCTTAATTATTTATATGTATTTGTTAAATTATTGTTTTTCAGTTACCTTAAAATAAATATTTCAATGAAATATTACTATGTGCTATGTATTATTCTTGGTATTCTAGATTGTGTCTAATTATGTGCTTAGCTTTTGAGTTTTTACTATGAGATTATAATTTATTTATGTGACTCTTTTTGCATAGACGAAAAAGACACAAACTAAGTTTTAGTTGTCCTTCAAATTAATTTTGTAATTTTGAATATTATACATGAATATTGGTATAACATTTAATTTTGCTATGATATTTTTTTGTTTTCATTTTAATAGATGTATTGTACTCCGCCCCCCCCTCATACTAGAGTCTGGCTCCGCCCCTGAGTATTGACCTTTTTGTAAGGGGTAAAAGAAGATTGGGAGCAGGTCTAACCCGTGCACATGTGATTTGGCCGGTTTAGTGCGCCGCCGAAAATTGTCGCCCTGCGTCATAGTGACACGAGTGTTGATTTTTTTGGGAAAAAGGCAACAATAAAGAACAACAATCCACCAAATTAAGTGCAACGGCGCAACGCTAGACTCTGAGCAAACGATCGAATTAGTAGACAAGTTCAGTTAAAGTTTTATAACTTGATCCTAAGATGATTTTGAGTCCTAAACTTTTCATTGCATTTTCCTTGGATATTATGAAAATAGTGCAACAACATATGGATTTCTTGCTTTACGAATTGCACTTGATTTAATATTATTAGTGAAACAAAAACATGTTAAAAGCTAATTTATTTTTGAAAATTTGTTTTCCATGAAGCAAGAATGTATGACAATCTATCTCCACCTAGCTCCCAAATAACAAAAGGTCTCCTCCCTCTCTAATCAAACAAACGAAAAATAGTTCACCCTAAAAGAATAATACTCTTGTTTGGACATGCGAGAGATTTGAAGAAACGATCGACCCTAGAAGTCAAAATACTTTCATCCACAACAACATAACAATCGACGATCTCAAGAACTACCCAAAACACACAAGTAATATCCAAATAAATAGTACAACCAAACGGATTGTCAATACTTCATCTTCATCTGTCCTGGCCCCACGATCATAGGTGTGTTCCCGACCATGAACATCCCACTGTTCCCACACCTGCAGCACACTCCGGTCGCCTGCCATCACCG